AAGAGGAGGAGGAAGAGGAGGAGGAGGAGGAGGAGGAGGAAGAGGAGGAGGAGATAAAAGACACTTGACCCATTTCCTGGGTGACTCTAGGCAAATCACTCAATCCCAGTTCGCTTATCGGCAAAATAACACGATCACCAAAGCCCACTGAACCACAGGTTTGTCGTGAAGTGCAATCTGCCATCTCCCTGTGACCGTGGCCAGGGGGTATTTAGTCCCCCACCCAAGTCCACAGAGAACAGAGAGCGACCGAAGCTGAGCCTCTCGACTGAGGTGCCTGCCTGCCTGGCTCTTCCTGCAGGGTAAGGGGTGCCCCTGTGGGGGCCTCACCTTTCACCACCACCTCCAAGGTGGCCTCGCTGTCCTCGAGGCCGTGCATCACCTCGCAGCGATAGACCCCGGAGTCATTGGAGCGCAGGTTCTGGATTTCCAAGGTGGCGTCGCTGGGGATGGCTGGGTAGCTGGGCAGCGAGACCCTTTCCTGGTAGGCGCTGTTGACCCGAACACGCCCCTCAGTGGCCACCAGCAGGACCACTTCCTTCTCCTTGGAAATGCGGCTCCACTTGATCCTCGGGGAGAGCGGGGCGGTGGAGGGGGCAGTGGTCACGGGGTGCATGGGGTCGATGAAGTAGCAGGGGATGGTGAGTGAAGTCCCCAGAAGGACCTTCAGCGGGGACGGCTGGGGGATGCTCACACTCAGCCCGTTGTCATGGTCTGCTGGAGAAGGTGGGATGAAGCGCAGACCTGTTAGTGCCCCGAGGGGACCAGCTGTCCTGCCCCAGTCCCTCAGTAGAGCAGAATGCTGTATGTGTGCTGTGTCTGTGACCAGGGCTGGGAATTCCCAGAAACCCTCGCACCTCAGGTCACAAACTGTACAGCCAGAAAAGCGTTCCAGAAAAGGGCAGGGGAGACGTCACAGCCCGGACTGCCTCTGTTTCTCAAACTGGGATTCCCCAGGGGATGCCAAGCCACAGGATAAACAGAATCCATCTTCTAGGAGTGATTGCTCAACTCAAAGCTTTTGGTAAGAATTGTATGGGGGCCTAAAAATTATTGTGGGGTATGAAAATATTTTATACAACTTTGAAAGCCGAGGCCCAACACTTCATGATGTGTCCCATTTGGGGACATCTGCTGGGAGTGTCGGGTGTGGGGACCGGGTAAAGACGCATTGGGAGATCAGACATTTCAGGGCTATGGAGGCCACAGCATGGGGTAGGGTCGACTCCATGAGAACAGTGGAGCACATTGGGAGGGAAGAGGCAGTGTGCTTACCAAGTCCTGTTTGCAGGAAAAGGTGTGCCTGCCATGGGAGGGAAACAACTTTCCCAAAAGTTGCACCTTCCATGGCTGGCCCTAATTTATGGAGCCCTGTCTTTCAGGAGCACCTACAGGCAGAAGTCAGAACGCTTCAGGTGTTTGTGGGTGGCGGGGAGCGGCAGGGCGAGGAGAGGACAGCAGGAATGTATGGAGTTCGGCTGTGGTCTGGTGTCCGGACAGTCACCATCAGCCCCTGCCACAAACACCTCCATCTGAACACCCAGCCCTGGCACCATCGGTGGGTCTCAGAGGACAGTTCAAGGTCACTGCAGGGCCCAGCTGGGCAGCTGTTAAAGCTCTCAACCAACCCTAGTGGTTCTTTGGTGGGGACACATCACCCCCAGGAAGGAAGGGAAGGTTTTTTTTTTTGGCGGTGCTGGGGATTGAATCCAGGGTCTTTTTGCTGAACTACATCTCTAGCACTTTTTTGTTTTTATTTTGAGACGAGGTGATGCTAAGTCACTAAGTGGCCCAGGCTGAGTTTGAACTGATGTTCCTCCTGCCTCAGTTTTCCAGATGTGCGCTACCTTACCTGGCAGGGGCTGGGTATCTGTGGGGCCCAGAGCAACTGTACAAATAGAGGGCCATAGATCGTAAGTGATCATCATGCCAGCTGATTTTGAAATGAGATGTACCTTCCTACTTGGAGATGGTAGTTTTCAAAATGACCTAAACACCCAGATTCAAATTTAGCATTCTTAGATTCCTCAGAGCTTTGTGTTGGGATATAGTGCCCTGGTAGGAAAGGAGGAACCATCTTAGTGGTCCACTGACTTTGCACCGCGTGAGGGATTTTTCTGTGTATCCACACCCGTGCAAACAGCCAATCCTCAGCCTCTCCCCGGGGCCTTGGGGGTTGGGTGGGGGAGGGTGCCTTGGTAGTCCTGGAAGTGGCCAGGGTATTTGGGCATTGAGATTAGCTGGGACTCTGCTGAGAAAGCCAAGACTATTGCAGCTAAGACCAGTGCATCACTGTAGGTTTCTCTGATGCTCCCAGCTCTTCCCCAGAAGCTTGATCTCTATGGGTCTCTCCATGTGCTGCCCTCAGCTGTGTGCACAGAGTGTGGTGTGATCTCAGGAGAAAGGTGCTGGGCAGAGGACCAGTCAGGATCTGTCCCCTTAGTGTCCTTGCTACAGGGCAGGTGACCAGGAGCCAATGGTCTGAGCAAGGTCCTAGTGCAGTGAGGATAGGAAAAGGCAAGAGAAGGGGAAATTGTGTCCCTGAGACTAGCAGCACCAGGTTCGGCACCCAGGACTCAGGAAGCAGCACTGAGCACCTCCTGGATAAATGTCCTTACCCGAAGCTTCTTCTGAGACAGCAGCCGTGATGACCCGCAGAGTCACGAAAACCAAGAGCAAAGTGGTCATAGTTCACCTGAAAGAGGGAGGCAGAGGTGTCACTGTGACATGAGAATGGTCATGTGAGCTACGATGTGCCTGGGACTTGCAATCACATCCAGACTATTCTTGGATAAAACATTTCTTTCCTCACAGAACCTTCACTCATTTTTGCATTTAATTCCAGGCATTTTACCAAAGGACTCAGCCTCCCATCTTCCCATCAGCGAACACTTCTCTGAATGAATCCTGCGACGGTTGGCGTTAGGTGTCAACTTGCCAGGGCCACAGGGACCCAAACATTTGGTCAAACACTGTTCTGGTGTGTCTGGGAGGTGCTTCTGGATGAGATGAACGTGTGAATTAGTGGACTGAGTAAAGTATGCTCCCTTCCCCATCGTGGGTGGGCCTCATCTCATCGGGTGAAGGCCTGAATGCTCAAAACATGAAAGTTTCCCTGAAGAACAGAGAATTCTTCTCTCTGATGCCCTTCAAGCTAGAATATCATTTTTTCCCTTCTCTCTGGACTTGAACAGAAACATCAGCTCTCCTGGGTCTCCGGCTTTCCAAGTCACCTTTAGAACTTGGGCCCTGCTGTCTACTGCGCTGCCAGCGGGAGGAGAGTACAGCACAGGCAAATACGTAAGGTCATGATGATGAACTACTAGCTTACTCCTCTAGGTATTTCCTATGCGGTGCTCTTTGTCATTATTTCATCATGCACTTCTTCAACTTGCCAAACAAGCTTACTACAAAACAGCGCATGATGGCACAGGGCAGCAGCCTCGCCCACCCTGTCTTTACCGTGACCCCTGGTCACAGGAGGAGGCCATGTAGAGTGAGATGACCTGTGTCAGCTGAGTGTACTCTGTGACGCTCACGCAATGACAAAACTGCCTAACGATGCAGTTCTCTGCACCTATGTCACTGTGCAGAGAAGTGTTAAAATATGTATAATATATATGGTAAGACGTAAATGTTTAAATAAAGAATTGTTATAGTAAGACGCATTGACATTAACCCCCTCCCAATGCTTAACACGCTCCCCCTGGCCCTCGCTTCGGACACAGCCCATTGCTCTTGGCAATGCATTTTTTACTGTAATAAGTTTCTTTTAATTAAACATCCATGCATCACACACACATATATATAATATCTATATCAAATATGAGAAACATAACTCTACGTTCCCTAGGCCCAGAGAAGTGACAAGTGGCCCAGCCACCCCGATGACGCCTGGGCCTGCCACCAAATTCAAACCCAGGGACTGTCTGAGCAGCAGTTTCAGGTGAGATTCTGGGCCCCGGTTCAAGGTGGGGAGACTTTGGACAGGCCGTGATATGAAGACACCTGCAACTCGGCAAAGCGGGGTCCCCCTGGCCCTTCTGGCGGCCCGAACAGGACCTCATGTGAGTGAGAAAGACAAACCCTCCTTACTGCCAGCTGCTGAACGACTGTCATGCTGTGTGTCCATCGGGCACAATACCTAGTAGCGTCTCCACACCACTGGGACTCTGGCCCCAGCTGGCTGGCACAGGCAAACCCCGAAAAGACTCAGCTGAATTTATGACCAGGGCAATGGTGTCACCCTGGTTGTCTGTGGAAATGACGGGTTTTGGCCTGAACCACTGGTCTCGAGGGTGGCAGTCACATACACCTGTGACCTACACTCCACAGCCTGTGCCCGGTGAGGTCCCAGGACGCTGTCAGGTGCACCTGCCCTAGCACCCACCCTGCCCTGCCTTTGTCTCCAGTAGGAGCATTTGCTCTAGAGTGAAGGAGAATTTGTGGCCCAGAGGAAGGAGGCCTAGTGGCCATGGATGGGGGCCGTGGATGGGGAGGTCCCAGCCTCAGCTGCCTCAGTCTGGTGGCCCAGCAGGGGTCACTCTTGGCCCAGTCAACTTCAGCTGGAGCTAGATGGATTTGGGGATGAGGGAGTCCCCAGGGAAGGGGAGCAGGGGTCACTGGTGTTCCCAGCCAGGAGCACTGGCCCAAGTTCTGGTGGCCCTCTCCTGCCCACACTGACTGTGATATCTTCCTGCCACCCACCCTCCACTCGGGCAGCAGACTTCGTCAGCCGAGACGTGAAAGGGTCGTCGGTGTAGGTGCATGCTGCCCTCACACCACAGGAAGTCTGGAGAGTCTCTCAGTTCTGAGAGGTGGCCCCTTGCTTCTCCTCCAGGGCTTTTCTGCTTAGATGCTGCCTTTAAAAAATATGACTGGTAGGGGCTGGGGATTTAGCTCAGTGGTTCGGTGGCCTGCTTAGTAAGCGCGAGGACCCTCATTCAATCCCCGGTACCCAAAAAAAAAAAAAAAATCACTGGGGCTTCAAGTCTGGCTTTTGAGCTGATGGCTCTGGTGAGAGCCAGAGTGACCAGTCATGGCTGGAAACAAGGTCCCTGGAAGGCAGGGGCCAGAGAGGAAGGTGTCCTTTTGGGGTGGGTGTGGCCTGGCTGGGACCCTTTCTTCCTAGAGCTCAAGGACCCACATTCAGAACAGCCTCGTCTTTTCTGCCCCAGAGTCCTGAGCACTGGGAGCTCTGTTTGTCCTCTTCCGGCTCGGAACAGGCCCACATTGTCTGGAGAGGCGGTGCTGCCTGTGGACTTGGGCTGGTGTGGTTTTTCTCCCTGGCTTGGATCAGGAAATGAGGGAGGAATGCAAGGGAGTTTGGGGAGTGGGGGTGGCGGTGGACTGGGCGAAGAAACGAATTTTATTTCTTCTTTTTAAAGACAAACTTTGGGATAGAAATATTGCAATAAATATGCTCTTGTGTTTGTGTGTGTTTTCTCAGCTGTAAAGAAAATAGGGAGAAATTCCATTCTGTCTGGGTTCCAGCGTCTTGGAGACTCACTGAGGCTTTTATGTGAGGGGGAGGAGGCTTGGGCAGCCGGGCCAGACAGGGAGGTCTTTCTCCCAGGGAAACCAAGGGCTGAAGGAGGGAGACCTGGGCGGGCTGGCAGGGAGCGTGAGGGGAGTGAGGAGGGGAAGCTGGTGAAGGCCAGGCCACACAGCCCCGTGTGTCAGGGATGGCGTGGTCACGAAGGAAATGGCTTCCTCCAATGCAATTATCAGGAGGCATGGGGGGGAGCAGGCAAGCACAGGCTTTCCAGTTGAGCAAGCTGTGTGTGTGCGTGCGTGTGTGTGTATATGCACGAGTGTGAGAGCCTCACTGCTAGGATGGGGTCACCCTCCACCTCCACATCAGACCAACTCCAGGCCGTGGTTGTTTACTTGATCACTGCTTTGGCCTTGGCCAACTATGCTTTTACCTTACTTGCCTTGAATTCCTCTTTTGGTAACATGAGCCGTGGAAACCCTGGGACCTGGTCCTGGCCCCTTTGGCCACCTAGTGCTCGGTCACACAGGACCCGCCCACAGCCACTTCACAGATGGAGTGAGACATATGGCGCCAGACACTTCTCTGGGCTTCAGGGAAGGCTCTGGGTCTTCGGCGTGTACCCACCTGAGGCTGGCATGACCATGCCACGTCCTCTCGCCTCCCACCTATCAGGCCTGAGTGGGCCTGGAAGAGAGTTTAGAGGCTTCCTGTCTTGGGTTGAAGGTTAGGCTAGATGATTTTCCATAAAGAACAAAGCTGCTTTCGTCTCAAAAATAACATCACCACCCTTCCAAATATTTGGAAAATAGATAAATGGAGAAAAAGCATCACCATAGTCTTCTAACTCAATCATCATTTGTGTTTTGGTAGCTTTTCTTCTAGTCTTTTTCCTGGGGCATCTATTTGGCTATGCATTTCCATAATTGTCACTTTTTTGCCTCCTGTTTACATTTTGCCCCAGACCACTGGACTCAGTGACTGTTTCCGCTCCTTCAGAAGAGAGGACTATGGCTCATTGCCGTCATAGCCTCCCTGCCAAGGATCAGCCCGGATGGAGCAGGCAGGGGCTTCTCAGCCTCTCTGTGGAGGCTCATGCGCATCCCCTCACCAGGAGACCCATTCCCTCGCTGGGATGTTCTAACAGAGCTCAGATCTTCCAGGATGGAGCTGAAAGGGCCCGACTCTGTTTTAATGTCCACCCATGGCTTCCACCAACAGAGGACACAAAACACAGCCATGCTTCCTCCGTGGGATCTGTGACAGAACTTCAGGGCTCCACTCTGCCACCCTGCCTGTGGTTCTCTCGAGGGGACATTCCTGGTCCTTTCAATTAGCCTTTCTCATGTGACATGTAGGCCTCCATTTCCTTCCCCGAGCCACAGACAGCCAGAACCAGGACAGATGTCAGTGAACACCAAGTCCAACTCTTTCATTCTACAGATGAAGGAACCGAGGCCCAAGGAGGCTGTGTGGTCCACTCAAGGCCACCCAGAACATCAGAGGTGGTGCTAGAACCAGAGCCGGGTTCTACAGCCTAGATCTCATAATCCCAGCATCTGTGAGCTTTGAGGGGTGATGACTCTGTGCAGCTAGCTTGCCAGTCTCCCTGGCACCCAGTGTGGCACCTGGCATGGACAGAGGATGTAGAAAGTGGCTGCTGATGAGTGAACCAAGGGAGGCCCAAGCATCTCACAGCCATCAGTCCTGGGCCTTGGAGGGGGAGACGTAGGAGACCAGACGTAGGAGACCAGACTCCCACGTTGGTTCAGCACCTGCACAAGGCCCACCCTTGTGAGGCAGCCTCTGCTGACAGCTGATGAATTTCAGCTGCCTGCTTATGGTGTGCATGGCCGTGTTGACTGGTGATGGCAACTCATACAGCAGGTGACTTTGGGAAGAAGATCACAGCCCGCGTGTAGCCCAGCAGAGTAAGAACCAGGATCATCCCTCCGTGGGGCTCACTGGAGAACCTATGCAAGATCAATCTTGCTAGAGCCGATTTTAAGCATCTCTTTCCCAAGTCTGCATGAGAGGGGAGAATTTTATTTTTCTCTTTCCTTTTTGAGAGTAGATTTACCAGCTCACAACTGGAAATAACTCACAGGAACTATAGAACAGGCTGGAGGATAACAGGCCTTTCTCTATTTCTACCTAATGAAGACACATTCTCCATCCCTTGCCCTGTCCTGCTTGTCTCT